TTCTATAATTCATCATGGAATGGGATGCAGGCAGCTCTCAGTTCTGAGGAACGTCCAAGGAAAGTCCAGCCTGACCCACAGCTCTTTAATCCATGATAAGTTGCTCTCTCTGGGAGTCTATAACTGGATCACTGAGAAGGATTAGAAAACTCAGCCCAGCACTCCTCACACCAAGTCTCTGCTGGTGAGGGTGTGCCAGGTGTGCCAGAGAAGGGACAATTCAGTGATGTCCTGGTTCTGGTGGCAGGGAACTGGAGACAGCTGGGCAAGGGTCATTGCAGAAGGGGTGAGTGAGGTCTCTTAAAGGTTTTTGGAAGGTTTATGCTCCTTAATGCTTTTCAACAGCTGTATGGGAGAGGTAGATATTGTATTACCTGTCAGTTGATGGAGATACAAAGCTAGAGGGTAAGTAACTTATGGCTTGTAGTGCAGACCTGGGAGTAGAATCTCAGTCCCCTGACTCCTGTGCTGGGACAAGTGGCATTACAACTCAACAAGGGGCTGTTGGGGACAGTGATGTGTTTTCTCTCTTGATATTCCCAGGAGCTGCATTTTTACAAGGTTGAGAACGATGTGGCCCAGATTATTCTGAATGCAACTAATACCAGCTGCAGGGTGGCAGTTCACCAAAAAACACTCTGTGAGGTGGACAAGGAAATAAAAAACGTGAATGAACTGATCGCCTGCCAGGAAAATGAGATTGCAAAGTCCAGGCTCCTGACTGACAGGAAGGGAGGCATCATCTGCCTGTTCAACAAGAAGCTGGAGATACTTCTTGCTCAGCAGGGGGTAGGTACTTTTGTGTTTCAGTCTCTATTTTATTCTTTGTGAAGATGCACCTGATCAATGTAACTGTGTTAAGTGTTGGTAGTTCAAACTTTCAGGCATCAGCACTGTGATTTAAAAGCTGCATTGGTTAATGCAGGTGTTTATGTTTATCAGTTCACAATGCAGTGAAGGGAATTGTGAAATGAGGGTGTGCCTGGCACAGATCCCTGCAGGGACTTGCCTGCACCTGATGAAAATGTCAAATGGCATCAATGAGTAAATACGATCTTGTTAGAAAAATCTGCAAACAGTGAGGAGGGGAGAATGGGGCAGGCAGGGAGATTTCAGTCATCTGAGGGTTGGCCCTGTTGGGATGATTCCCAAATCTGTCCCTGGCAGTGACAGACCTTATGGATACCCTTGGGGAAATGAGTTCTAGAGCACATCCTCTGCAAACCTTGGAGTGTCCAGGTGCTGTAAACAGCCCAGGCAGCTTTTGCCTGATTTATCCCAAACTTTGCTTTTGCACAGGGGCAAGAACTGGGACCACTGGAAATTGAGATCAGCCAGCTGAACAAGCAGATAGAAGATTGCAATTCCGAGGCAATGACGCTGCAGAAGTACTGGCTCAATGAGCAGAAGGAGCTGATCAAGCTGACCCAGGAGAGGGAGGAACAAAAAACCTCCCTGGACTCGTTCCAGAAGCAGATCATCATCATGCAGCAGAGGAAACTGCGCGTTGAAAGTTCGTCATTCCCTGACCCTTCCTTAAAATCTCCCTCTGTGAAGGGAGGGAAAAGGGAGTGGAGGGTTCCAGATGGGAAAAGCTGGACCTACCCCAAAGAGTGCTCCTGGCTGAGTGTGGGCAGGAATGGCAGCAGCCCAGGCACTCCTGCTCATTGCACATCATTATTCCTACAAGGATTGATCCCACTGTCCTGACAGTCGGACCCTAAGTGACAATGTCACCTGGTACACTTGTTAAATAAAGTTTGCAAGTAATGGGTAGCTAAATGTCCCCAGAAATGACTGCACTTTCCTTGGCCAAACCCAACTTTTTTCCACACAAGTCTCTTTCAAAACCTTTTTTTTTTTGTTTTTGAGCTTGTGGAAAATTATTTTGGCTGGACATGTGGGACAGGGGTGGCTCTGCCTGAGGTATTGCCAGCTCTGATAGCCACACACCTTGTCTGTGTTCAACCCAGTTCTCAGGGGAATTCTAAGGCTTTTTTTTGTTCACCCATAGATGAAATTCAGCAGGAAATAAAGGAACAGAAGGATGTGGAACGGCACATGAAGAACATGTCAAATGACTTGATAAAGTTGAACATGTTGATCAACAAGAACAAGAGCAGCGTTGAGGAGCTGAAAAATGGCAAAATTGTCACAGAGAATGAGTTTGTGCAGTCTCTCAAGGTACTGAGGCACCTGGCACCTCATTCCCAGGTGTCAGCCTCCTGTGCAGATCAGAGGCAAACAGTGATCCTGGAAAACCTCAGCCTGACAACACTGTACTGTTTTGTTCTTCCCAAATCTAGGCAGCAGAAAAAGAAGCCGTGGAGATGCACGAGAGGCACAGTCAACTGGCTGAGGAGAAGGAAAGGCTCCTGAACAGCCTGGTAGAAGCAGAGTAGGTACCAGAGTGCCACAGTCCTGTGTGACTGTGTCCTTGTTCCTGTTCTCCTCCAGTCACCAAACCTTGCACCAGCAAATGTGCTTCTGGCCTTCCTGGAGAAGGGGATGAATGTTTGAAACACAGAAACTGAAAGTGTTTCAGCAGCTCTGGAACCAGCAGGAGCTGGGAGGGTGTTGGCTGAAACAGTTCCAGCATGTGTGAGCTGGGAAGACTCTGCCAGTAATGGCAGTGAGTGTGCTGCACTGGGCAGGTAATTGGGGCTCTAGCTTTCTCCTTCCTTCCTTCCCCTTTCTTCTCTGAAGGCATCAGATCCTGCTGTGGGAGAAAAAGATCCAGCTGGCAAAAGAGATGCGGGAAGCAACAGATGCTCTGGTAGAACAAGGCGAAATCCATGACATGAAAGCAGAGATTCGGAGGATGCAAGTAAGGCACTGGGAAAGGGGGCTGAGGAGGGGAAGCCACCCAAGGTACTCAGCCCTGGAGCGGCTGAAATGCGAGGCAGGAGATGAGAAACAGGCTGGACAAGTGAATCTTCAGGGCCTGGGGTGGGACTCTAAACCCCACACAGCTCTGACTGAACCAAGCACATCCAGCCCACACATCCTGCATTCCCCTGCCAGCCTCAGCAGAATCTGGATACTCCCAGGGAATCTATTTAAATTGCAGTATGTCTGCCACCTGATTCTGTGACCCTGATATATACACAGTGTTGATTACTAAATATTGCATCACTTTAATCACTGGTTCAGGGAAGTGTTCCCTCTCCTGCCACAGCAGCTCACCCCCTTCATTCTCAGGATGCTTCTGCTTTTCTGCTTCTGCTCTTGCTAATGAGGTTCAGACTAACATTCTGAATATTGGTGTAGACAAGTCAATAACCCAGCCTCTGCCTTCCAGACCCACACACAGCAAACCAGGTTTGCACTTGGACCAAATCTGGCTTGCAGGCTCTCGTGTCACATGGATCTGGTTTATGCTGGTGGGATGTGCCACCCAAACAGCTTCCCTTGGTGCTGATGATAAACATTTGGTGTTCTGAGGCTGGTTTGTGTTTGGCACACGGCAGGTCCGCTATGGGCAGCTGCTGAAGCAGCAGGAGATGTTGATGCGGGCCATGGAGGCGTGTGTTTCTCACAGGGAGACCATAACAAATCGGGCAGAGGCTCAGAGCAAATTAGATAAGAAACACAGCACCAAGAACGACTTCCAAAGCAGGAAACAGGAGCTGAAGAAGAAGATGAGGGAAACCCAGGAGGTGAGCAAGGAAAGTGGGGCTGCAGGAGCTCACACAGCTGGGGTTGGCCTTGTGGTGAGAACAGCAGTGTCCGTGCACAGGGCCAGGCTTTGAAAATCATTCATTGAAAATCCCCCAAAGGGAGGATGGTCAGGAATGCAACTGAACTAGAGAAGTGAATTTTGCCATTTCCTTCTCTTCCATTTACTAGAACATTTATGAATGCAACCAAACCATACAGGAGCTGGAGACCATCCAAGAGTCCCTCAGAGACACCTTTTCAGAAAAGAAGCAGGAATTGTGCCAGCTCCAGGCTGAGACAGACAGCCTCAGCTTGGACATGGAATGTCTTCAGAATGAGAAACGATGGGTGAGCACATCCACCCTTCCAGCATGTGAGCCAGACAGAGCCTGCTGCTTCCTCTGCTGCCAGCTCTGGCCTGAACTGAGTGTGCTCAGTGTGGTGTTACAGCAACTCATTAACTGAGCACATCAAGAGCCAACTTGCTATATTGAAACACTGTCCTGGCAAGGGTTGTCTTATGTATGTGGGGATTTCTCTGATTTATGGAATTCTGTGACGTCTGTAGCCCTCCAGCACCCGGGCTGGGGGTGCTGTTTGCTTGTTATGGTGGGGAATTCACAGCACTGTCCTTCCTTGTCCAACGTGATGGTCACAGCACCTGACCAAGTCCCACCCATGCTTTTCCTGCTGTCACAGCCCCTTCTCTTTTTGCTTTGCTCAGAACCTGTTGGAGCTTGTGGCCCACCAGGCGCACCAGAAAAAGCTGCAGGCACTGAGGGATGGGAAGTACAAGGCCCTGTGCCACACTGAAGAGGCCTGCACGAACCAGCAGGAGAAACTGCAGGGTCGGCTGCAGAGCATTAACACCATCGTGCAGCAGATCCAGGAGGAACAGCCCCAGCACCAAAGGGCCCTGCAGTGGCTCAGTCACTGCTTGGCATCCAAGCTCGGGTCGCAGAAAGCCTGACAGAAACACAGAAAATACATGTAGAATCTTTTATAGTTTTTCCACAGGCTCTAGACTTTGTAAATAAATAAAGACAAAAAACAAAAACAACCAAACAAAAAAAAAAAAACCCCAAGCAGGTGTGGGGTATAATATTTACTTTGCCGGGTATGTTTATTTAAGACGCACCATTGTAATTCCCTCGGTACGTTTCTGTTTACGTTTCACTTTCGCTGCCCTGAGCAGCTCCTGGGCTCCGCCTCCGTGTCCCGAATTCCCGGGGGCGGGGGCGGCGCAGCCCCGCTCTCGGCCCGGCCCCAGCCCCGCTCTCGGCCCGGCGGAGCGGTGCGTGTCTCGGTGCCGGTGCCGGTTCCAGTGCCGGTTCCGGGCCATGGGGCCGGGCCCGGGGGTCGTGGCCGCGCTGCTGGCGCTGCTGGTCCCGGTCGCGGCTCGGGGTCCCGGCTCTGCCGCCTGCGAGCTGTCCCCGAGCGGCCGCTTCGACTGCGGCCCCGAGCGGCTCCTGGCGCGGGCGGACTGCGAGGCTCGGGGCTGCTGCTACATCCCCGGGCCCGGCCCTCGCAGCGGGCCCGGCCCGCCCTGGTGCTTCTTCCCCCGCGGTTACCGCAGCTACCGAGCCGAGAACCTGACGGCCACCGAGAGCGGCTTCTCGGCCCGGCTGCGCCGCGTGGCCGCCGCCTTCCTGCCGGCACCGGTGGACACGGTTCGGCTGGACCTGGCCCTGGAGACCCCGGCCCGCCTGCGCTTCACGGTGCGCCCCGGCACGGCCGGACCCCGCCGGTGAAAGCCCCGGGTCCCCGCGGTAAAAGCGCCGTTCCCCTTTGTGGGTGAAAGCCCCGTTTCCCCGGGTGAAAGCCCAGTTCCCTGTTGCGGTAAAAACCCCGTTTCCCCGGGTGAAAGTTCCGTTCCCCCGGGTAAAGCCCCGTTCCGTATTGCGGTAAAAGCCCCATTCCCCCGGGTGAAAGCCCCGTTCCCCGCTGACCCTGTCCCCCGCAGCTCCGGGACGCGGCCCGGCAGCGCTATGAGGTCCCGCTGGCCACGCCGCAGGTGCGCGGCCGAGCCCCCGCCACGCTCTACGGGCTGCAGGTGAGCCAGGATCCCTTCGGGCTCGTGGTGTGCCGGCAGCGCGGCGGGACGGTCCTGTGAGTGCTCCCCTGGCTTCCCGAGGGATTCGCTCTGGGAGCCTGCACAGCCCCGGGGTGGTGTGGGGACACTGGTGACAGCAGTGGGGTGGCTGTTGGGGCTTTACTTTGATTCCCTCTGCAGTTCAGTGGCTGGGCAGGGAACCAGGAATCCCAGAGCTCAGCCAAAATTTATTTTTATTTCACGTGGTGATGAGCATCCCTGTCCCTGCCCAGCTCAGTGCCTCCCTCCGAGCTGTTTGCCCGAGTCTCCCTTTCTCTCTCCACAGGCTGAACACCACGGTCGCACCCCTCATCTTCACAGACCAGTTCCTGCAGATCTCCACCTCCCTGCCCTCCCATTTCATCTCGGGGCTGGGGGAGCACCTGACACCGCTGTTCCTGGACACAGCATGGAGCAGAGTCACCCTCTGGAACCGGGACATGGCACCCGCGGTACGGAGCGGGACTGGGGGAATTCAGATTCATCCGTGTTCCTGGGGGTGGCCCTGCAGCCTCTCACGTCCTGTCTGGGGCTGGGGACATGTGTCTGTGCTGGGTCATCTCTGGGTCTTGGCCATACCACTGGGCAGGCCCATGTGAACCTTGTCCCCAGGCCCAGGTTTGTCCCCAGGCCCAGGTTTGTCCCCTGGAGCTCTGTGCTGCTTGGGAGCCGTTTCCAGGGCTCTGGCTCAGGGCAGAGCTCTGTTGGCTTGACAGAGTTTGGGACCACAAGTACTGGGTTTGCACCTGAAGCCAGTGCTCCTGACTGGAGGTGAGGGGTGGTCAGGTGGGTGTGGGGGTTTCCAGCAGAGCCTCACTGGCACCACACCGTGCTCTACTCCAGCCCCACGTCAACCTCTACGGCTCCCACCCTTTCTACCTGGTGATGGAGGACGATGGTTCAGCCCACGGTGTCTTTCTGCTGAACAGCAACGCGATGGGTGAGTCCTGTGGAGCCACTGGGCGTGGGCCTGGCCCTGTCCTCATCCTCAGCTTCCTCTCCTGGCACTTGTTCTTCCCCAGATGTGCTCCTGCAGCCCAGCCCGGCCCTGACCTGGCGCACCACGGGTGGGATCCTGGACTTCTACATCTTCCTGGGCCCCGACCCCAAGAGTGTGGTGCGGCAGTACCTGGATGTTGTTGGTACGGCTGAGGCACGGGTGCTGCCAGGATGGCTTTGCTGGAATGCTGGGATGCTGCGAGCAGCGTGGCAGAGCAGGGCTGTGGGGTGGCACAAGGCTGGGCCATCCCTGCCAGCACCCACCCTCCACCCTCCAGGGTTCCCCTTCATGCCCCCGTACTGGGGCCTGGGCTTCCACCTGTGCCGCTGGGGCTACTCCTCCACTGACATCACCCGGCAGGTCGTGGCCAACATGACAGCAGCTCGCTTCCCCCTGGTAGGTCTGGGCTGCCCCTGGAGCCTCTGCCCGCCGTGGGGGGCTGCTGGGGGTCCCACAGCAGCACGTGGGGTCCCTGCTCCTCCCCAAGCACCGCTGCCTCCACCCGCAGGATGTGCAGTGGAACGACCTGGATTATGCAGATGCCAAGAGGGATTTCACCTTCAATAAGAAAAGCTTTAGGGACTACCCGGAGATGGTGCGGGACTTCCACAGCCGCGGGCTGAGGTACATCATGATCGTGGTGAGTTACACGGGCAGGCTGGCACGGGCTCAGCTGCCCAAGGGTGCCGGTGAGGGCAGGGCTGGCTGTTCCCTGCTGTTGCTGGTGAAGCCCTGGCTTTGTTCCCTTCTAGGATGCTGGGATCAGCAGCTCAGGGCCCCCTGGCAGCTACAAGCCCTACGATGAGGGCCTGAAGCGAGGGGTGTTCATCCGAAACGCCACGGGACAGCCCCTGATCGGGAAGGTGCGTGTGGGGAGCGGCCCCAGTGCCCAGAGGGGCCGTGGGAGAGAAACGTTTGGGGGCTGTGGGGGAAGGTGGGGTGGCGTGTGGGGCTGGGGCTCTGCCCAGTGCTCTCTCTCCTGCAGGTCTGGCCAGGCCCCACGGCCTTCCCAGACTTCACCAACCCAAGGACTCACGAGTGGTGGTACGACATGGTGAAAGACTTCCACGAACAAGTGCCCTTCGATGGCATGTGGCTTGTGAGTGGCCCTTTGTAGCTGCTGGCCCTTCCTCCTGCTCTGGACCTCTGCTGGGCCCTGGTGCAGCAGTGAGGTCATCCCATCCTTTCCTTCCTGCCCAGGACATGAATGAGCCGTCCAACTTCGTGGAGGGCTCCCAGGATGGCTGCCCCAACAACAACCTGGAGCATCCCCCCTACGTGCCAGGTACAGGAGTGGGTTCCAGCCCTGCCCAGGGCTCTGGAGAAGCTGGGAGGAGCCCGGGGGATGTTTTGAGCTCCACCTCTCCCGTGCAGGTGTGTTTGGGGGACGGCTGCAAGCCGGCACCATCTGTGCCTCCAGCCAGCAGTACCTGTCCTCTCACTACAACCTGCACAGCCTGTACGGGCTGACAGAGGCCATCGCCTCCCACAGGTGAGCCTGGGGCTCCTGCACAGCTCCTGCACGTCCTGGGGGATGCAGAGCTGGGAGAGACCCAGCGTGGGCAGGCACTGGGTGATGGGTGAGGGTTTGGTGTGTAACACAGGGCACAGTGGGAGCCCTGAGCTCCCTCCCCAGCCAGGGGTTGCTGAGCAGACCCATCCCACTCCCAGTGCTCTGCTGAGGGTCCGGGGCAAGCGTCCCTTCATCATCTCCCGCTCCACCTTCGCTGGGCACGGGCGCTACGCCGGGCACTGGACAGGGGATGTTGGCAGCGACTGGGAGCAGCTCTACTACTCCATACCAGGTAGGCTGTGGGCACTGGGCCTGCATCCACACCCCTGCTTCCCCCTTGCCCCCACAGCCAGGGGCTCCTCCATGGGCTCCATCCCCTGGTGCTGCCGAGCCCTGATGCCCTCTGTGCCCTCTGCAGAGGTGCTGCTCTTCAACCTCTTCGGGGTGCCGCTGGTGGGTGCTGACATCTGCGGCTTCGTGGGCAACACCAACGAGGAGCTGTGCGTGCGCTGGACCCAGCTGGGCGCCTTCTACCCCTTCATGAGGAACCACAACGACCACGGCACCCGGGTGAGCCCTGGGAGCCCTCAGGGCAGGGGGCTCTGGGGCTGCCCAGCCAGCATGGGAAGGTGGCTGGTTCAGTGCCAGTGTTCCCCCAGTGCTGGGAGAGCCCATCCCGCATCCCTGAAATGCACCCTGCCTTCCTCCCCACGTGGTCTGAGCATCCCCTTGGGCCTGTCCCCTTCTGCAGCCACAGGAGCCCTACTCCTTCAGCCCTCCTGCCCAGGCTGCCATGAGGAATGCCCTGCACCTCCGCTACTCCCTGCTGCCCTTCCTGTACACCCTGTTCCACCGGGCTCACAGTGCTGGAGAGACCGTGGCACGGCCCCTGTTCCTGGAGTGAGTGCCAGCCCTGCCAGCGTTCAGCACGAGTGGCTGCAGGGTGTCCTGGCACTGCCCTCCCCTTTTTCCCCAGGTTCCCCACGGACCCCAACACCTGGGCCGTGGACCGGCAGCTCCTGTGGGGCGGGGGGCTGCTCGTCACCCCCGTGCTGGAGGCAGGACAGACCAAAGTCAGAGGTTACTTCCCAGCAGGGACGTGGTACAGCCTGGCAGGGGTGGGTGCTCCTGCTGTGCTGCATGGGGGGCTTTGCTGTGGCACATTCCTGTGCCCCACAGTCCCCTGGGGCTGTGTGTGGGTCTCATGCCTCACCTGCCTTTGCTGGTGGCCATTTGAGAGCTCTGGCACTGGGCTGGGCGCCCCCTCCCATGTTCCCTGTGTCTATTCTTCCCTCTCTTTGTTCCCTTGTAGGACTCCACCATCCACAGCAAAGGGCAGTGGATCCTCCTGCCAGCACCCCTGGACACCATCAACGTGCACATCCGTGCAGGGCACATCCTGCCCCTGCAGGTGAGTGCCCTCTGCTCCGTGGTGACACCACGGTGACCTGCCCGGCCAGCCTGGGAGGGTGGCTGTGCCCACACCGCTGCCAGGACAATGTCAGAGCTGTGGCTGCAGTGCCTGCAGGGCTGGGGGACACGGCTGTGGCCGTGCCCTGAGCTGTGCCTGCCCCTGCCCCAGGAGCCCGCGTTCAGCACTGCCCAGTCCCGCAGCAAGGGCATGGCCTTGGTGGTGGCACTGACCCTGGATGGCTTCGCCAGGGGAGATCTGTTCTGGGACGATGGGGAGAGCTGGGAGACCTTTGAGAGGGGAGACTACACCGAGATCCTCTTCCTGGCCTCAAACGTGAGCACGGGGAGCTGTTGGCTGGGGGCATCTGGGCACGGTGTCCTGGTGGCCCTGGCACACCCTGCTCAGTGGTGGCACAGGGGCAGCACGTGGGGCAGGGCACCTGGAGGAGCCCTGGGTGCACGTGGGGTGGCTGAGAGCCGGGAGCACTGGGTGCCATCCCTGCTGTCCCCAGGACGCTGTGCTCAGCCAGCTGCTGCGGGCCAGTCCCCACCTGGACGGGGTCCTGCTGGAGGCTGTGACTGTGCTGGGTGTCACCAGCCCTCCCCGGCGAGTCCTGGCCAACGGTGCCATCGTGAGTGACTTCTCCTACCGCAGTGACACCCAGGTGAGTGCTTGTTCCCACCCTGGGAAGGGGTGGTGGCCAGGAAGGGACCCAGAGTGCAGCTGGTGGGGCTCTGCAAGTAGCAGGATCCCCCTGGGCTCTGACACTCCTGGGCTCCACCTTGGCTGTTCTCACCTTCCTTCTCCCTCAGGTGCTGAAGGTCCCTGTGTCACTGCCCATGTGGGAGCAGTTTGTGATCTCCTGGTCCTGAGGCAGTGTCAGTCACAGGGAGAGGCCACGCTGCTCCCCTGGAATCTGAGGCCAAATCTGTCCCATCCCTTGTACCCAGAGCTGTTCCTGCTCTTCCCACACTCCTGGGCTTTGTTTTACCTCTGGATGTCAATGGAGGGGTGAGCCCTGCACTGGCACAGGGAGGGGGTCCTTGCACAGCCCCCAGGGACAGGGAAAACCTCATCATCATCAAATCAGGGGAAAAAAGACCCAAGTGCCTTGTGAGGCAGCAAACCAGTTACTGTGGGGGACTGGTAACTGGGGCAGAGACTGCAAGGAGTTTTCTGGCTGTGGTTTTGGGGAGGGGGATGTGCAGGGGCTGAGGGAGCAGTACTGTGAATAAAGCTGCTGTTTGCTGGGAGCAGCCCCACGCTGTCCTTGTCCCCTCTCCTGGTCCTGAATGTGCCCTTGGCTGGGACATTCCAGCTCTATCCCTGCCTGGAGGTCTCCAGTGGGATCCCCTGTGCCCCTTAAAGGCTTCACCCCATTTCCCAGCTGTTTCTGCAGCCCTGGCTGTGCCACAGACACCCTTGGCCTCTCCTGCTAGCTCCAAGCTGGGTTCTGCTGCAGGGGCGTGCTCAGCTCCAGGTGAAAATGGAGCCTTATCCTCTAGAGGCTTTATTGAGGGGCAGCTTGGCCCTTTGGCTCCTCTGGCTGAGAGTCAAGGCACCAGGAATCCCTCAGTGCTCTGGCAGCACAGAGGGCAGAGCCTGGTGGTGCCCCCGAGATTTGGGACCAGCCCATTGTGATCTGACCCTCGAGTCCCCCTGGGGCACAGCCCTGTCCCAGGGCACGGGTGGCACTCACAGCTCGTTGTGCAGTGGCTGGCACTGGGGGCTCAGTTTCTCCTCCAGGACAGCATCGGGGGCGCACACCCAGGGGTCCCCCGTGTCCCACTGCCACTTGAGGAGCTGTGCACGGAGCAGCTGGAAGGTGGGGGCGTAGCGGGGGTCGGGGGCCAGGTTCTGCCTCTCGCTGGGGTCCCGGCTGCAGTCGAAGAGCTCCCAGCGCTGCCGGTAGTAATACTGGTGCAAGGTTTTGTCCCAGTGCGTCGGCTGCCCCGCCCTGGTGCGGTTGAGCAGGTCTTGGAAAGTGGGTGAGACATAGAAATCCTGGTCGATGGGGAAGGGCATCTTGTAGTTGAGGTTGTGGATGAGGCGGAAGTGGCCGTGCTGCACGGCTCGCATGGGGTAGTACATGGTCACCTCGTGGTGGCTCTGGCTGCTGAAGGCGGTGGCCCAGGGCTGCTCCGACTCCAGGGCTGGCAGGAGAGACTTCCCAGTGAGCTGCACCTGCCTGCTGCCAAAGATGCTGTAAGCAGGGTAGGGGATGGAGAACCAGTCCAGAATGGTCGGCGTCAGGTCTGGAGGGGAGGAAAATGGATGAGAGGAGGGACAGGCACTGTGGGAGGAAACTCCGCCCCAGAGAGGGACAGAAATGTCCCCAGGGATGGAGACCCTGTTCTGTCCTCCCCTCTCTCCCTTCCCTGCAGTGCTGAGGGCTCAGGGCTGTCCCCAGGGCCAGGAGCCTGAGTTTTGGTGTGGGGAGGGTGGGGAGCAGCCCCAGGCAGAGCTGTGCTGCCTCCCTCCCTCCCGGAGCTCTCACCCAGGAGGCTGGCGAAGGCCGGGCTGACCTGCCCCCAGCGCCGGCGGTGCTCGGGGGAGGAGAGCAGCAGCGGCTGGGCAGTGCCCGAGCGGTACAGGTTGGTCCTGCCCCCGGGGAAGGGGATGCCATTGTCCGAGGTGTAGATCACCAGGGTGCTGTTGAGGAATCCGGCACGGCGCAGCTCCTGCAGGACCAGCCCGATCCCTGCGGACAGACAGACGGACGGACAGACAGAGGGTCAGGGGGAAGGGAGGGGCTGCAGCCCTGACCAGCCCCAGCCTGGCCCGTGACTCCCACCTTGGTCCATGCGCCCGATGGTCGTGTACTGGGCAGCCAGGTCTGCCCGGGCAGCCGGCGTGTCCGGGACAAAGGCAGGGACCTACAGAGGGACAGGGAAAAGGGCACGGGGCTGGCACAGCCACTGTGCCTTCACCAGCTCGTGCTGTGACACCAGAGGCAGTGACAAGGTGGGCTCCATCAGAGCCTGCCATCATGTGCAGCCCCACAGAGCCCCAGACGTTCCCACAGGTTCTCACCTGCACTTGCTCCGGGTGGTAAATCTGTGGCTTCCAGTCAGGGATCCAGCCCATCCCGCTCTCTCCATTGCCAAACTTCTCACAAAAGGCCCCGTATTGGGGCTGGGAGTGCCCGCAGCGGTGGGGGTCGTGGAAGGCAACATAGAGGAAGAAAGGCCTAGGGATGGAAAGGGGGGATGTGGAGGGAGTGAAGCAAAGGATTGCCCGAGACCTTCCTGGGCTGTGCTGAGGCGAGCTGGGCTCAGCAGGACTCCCCCCGCCAATCTGGATATGGCATGGCACAGGGACAAAGGGTGTTTGTTTCCTCTTTGTGGCCAGCTGGGGACACATCTTCGGCGAAGCCAGCTTCCCTCCTCCCACAGCCATTCCCGGGACGCTGGGGCTGTCTCACCTCTCGTCCTGGCTCTGCAGGAACCGCCGGACGAGCTCCTTGATCCGGGTGATGTTCCTCCCAACCTGCAGCACCGAGCTGTTCTCCTCTGTGTAGGCAAAGTCGAAGGGGTACACAGCCCCCGGCCCCACGTGCTTCTTCCCGATGATTCCTGTGAGAATCCAGACAGGTGCTGTGCCAGGAGCAGTGCAGGCATGGGGATGTGGCTGCTGCTGTCTCCTCTGTGCAGGGACAGCCACAGGTCCAGGCAGTGCTCCCGGGCCCACGGGGAGCTCACTGAGCTCTCTTAGTGGGATTGGTGCTCCCTACCTGTCCCCGCTCCCTACCTGTCCGGACACCTGCATGGCTGAGCAGCAGGGGCAGGCTCCTCACGCCGTCGAAGGAGTTGAAGTGATGCACGTCCTGGTGCAGCCCGTACATCCCGTTCTGGTGCTGCAGGTGAGGGCACACAGCACGGTCGGACCAGGGCTGTCCCAAAACACGCCCAGCCGTGTCCGTGCCATCTGCCGTGGGCTGGCAGCCCCAGGTGCCCGTACCTGCGGTAAGCCGGTCAGGATGCTGGCCCGGCTCGGGGAGCAGCTGCTCACGGAGGTGAAGGCGTTCTGGAAAAGCAAACCGCGCCGGGCCAGCGCGTCCAGGTTCGGTGTCCGGATGGCCGAGTTGTTGTAAGCGCCGATCTCAAAGCCGCCGTCATCGGCTGCGGGACGGGTGCGGGGTCAGCCCGGGGTGTCCCTGACCGGGCCCGGGGGACAACGATGACACCGAGAGCATCCCCGGGCTGCGGGTGACCGGGCGGTGCTGCGGAGGGGATGCAGCGGAGCCTGGGACCATCCCTCCCTCCTTTCCAGCCGCGGGATGTCCCCAGCATCCCCGGGCAGGGGGGTCCGGAGCGGCTCCGGGGCTCGGCCGGGCCGCACTCACCCAGGAGCAGCAGCACATTGCGGGCCGGGACCGGGGCTGCGGATCCGCCGGCCCGGAGTGCGCCCAGCAGCAGCAGCAGCGCCCAGGGCCGCATGGCAGCGGTACCGGCACCGGTACCGACACCACCACCAGCAGCGGGGCTCGGCGGCTGCTCCGGCCGCCCCGGCTCCTCCTCGTCCCGGTCACATGAGGAGCTCCGGCCGCTCAGATCCGGCACGGGCGGAGCCGCGGCTGTGCTGGGCTGGCACCGGCGGGTCCCGCTCCGCCCCGGGACCGACCGAGGGGTCCCGCTCCTTCCCGGGACCGGACCGAGCGGTCCCGGCCATGCCGCGGTCCCGCTGCCCGCGCCCGGCGCTGCCGATCCTGCGCTGGCTCCCGCGCTATTCCCGGGCGTGGCTGCCGCTGGACCTGCTGGCCGGGCTGGCCGTGGGACTGACCACCGTGCCGCAGGCGCTGGCCTACGCCGAGCTGGCCGGGCTACCGCTGCAGGTGGGTGCCAGGGCCCGGGGGGACCCGGGACCACCCCCCGGAGCAGCCTGGCAGTGTACGGCAGGGCTGAGCTGGGCTGGGTGACCAGGGGCTGGCAGTGTGCAGTCGCCCATTTCCCGGGCAGGGTGCCCTGGAGTGACCCGAGATCAGCCCAGCCCTCCCAGTCCGGGAGGTGTCTGCCTTCTCCCAGCTCCCAGGGCTGTGCCAGTGTCCCCTCTGTCCCCCTGCAGTACGGCCTCTATTCCTCCTTCATGGGCTGCTTCGTCTACTGCATCCTGGGCACGGCCAAGGACGTGACTCTGGGTCCCACGGCCATCATGTCCCTGCTGGTGTCCTCATACGCCTCCCACGAGCCCGTCCATGCCGTTCTCCTCGCCTTCCTGTCTGGCTGCATCCAGCTGGCCATGGGGCTCCTGCACCTCGGTGAGATGATCCTGCCGTGCACAGATGTTTAGGATATATTTAGGATATGTTTAGGATATGTATGTTTAGGATATTGCTGTACAGCCTGTAGCTGTTCCTTCCTCCCCTCTGCTCTCTGGAACACTGGCATTGTCCTGCTGCTGCATGTGACAGCTCTGTGCACATCCACGGGGCCCCGCTGGGGTCAGGAGCTCACTGCCTCCCATCCCATGCAGGATTCATTCTGGATTTCATTTCCTTCCCTGTCATTAAAGGGTTCACATCAGCTGCCTCCATCACCATTAGCTTCAACCAGATCAAGGTAGGATCTGCCCTGTCCTGGTTGCCTCTGCAGCTCTCTCCTAGTGCTGTGCAGCTGGGATATTTAGCACTGGGCTGGGTGATGTGCTTGGTGCTGGAGGAAGGAGCCCCAAAGGGGTCCTGGGACCCCCTGCCAGTGGTTGTGCTGGGTCCCTGAGCTCTGCTCTGAGCAGACCAAGCTGAACACACCCTCAGCTGGTGGCATCCAGGACACCAGTAAAACCAGGACATTGGATTTGGTCACTTGCAGGGGGCAATGGGCAATTCTCTGGCACGGTGGGTTTGCAAATTTGGAAGCAGGGGGTGGTTTTCAGCCCCAGCAGCCCCTCGCTGGCCTCTCAGGGACCTGAGGCTCCGCTGGGCTGCCACACTTCCTCTGTGGTTAACCCAAATCAGAGCCTGGCAGGCCGGTGTTGGCCAATGGCTGCGGTGACGGGGCTGTGCCGGGCTGTCACCAGGCTTTGTGTTCCTGCACAGAACATCCTGGGGCTGCAGGGGATCCCGAGGCAGTTCTTCCTGCAGGTCTATGAGACGCTGCGCAGGATCGGGGAGACCAGGTGAGCACTGTCCCTGCCTTGTGCTGTGACACAGCCCCCCTCCCCTGTGTGGAGGCTCTCCCTGTGCCCACAGCGTGCTTGGGGTGGCACTGCTGTGCCTCTTGCAGGGCTGGGGACGCTGTGCTGGGGCTGACCTGCCTGGCTGCGCTGGCAGGGCTCCGGGCCATGAAGAGCCACGTGCCCCGAGCTGGCCCTGCAGAAGCACTGGCTGTCAGGATCAGCCACCTCATTGTCTGGATCTCTGGCACAGGTGTGTGTCCCCTGTCCCCTCCCACGGGCTCTTTGGGTCAGGGAACACAGAGCCTGAAACTGGTAAAGGCCAGGTTGGCAGGAGCCAAGACCTGCAGGTGGCTCAGGGAGGACAAAGTCCCAGGGGTGCTGCCACTGTGCCCCTTCCTGAGGCTGGGAACTCCTCAGCAGCTCGGATTCCCATCTCCTGCCCCTCCTGCTGCCCTGGGCAGGTTTCACAGTTGCTCTCTCCGTTTCTGCAGCACGCAATGCTCTGGTTGTGCTGTTTGCTGGCCTGGTGGCTTACTCCTTCCAGGTGATGGGCTCGCAGCCCTTCAGGCTCACGGGCAGCATCCCCCAGGGCCTGCCAGCGTTCCGGCCACCGCGCTTCTCCCTGGCAGCGCCCAACGGCACCGTCCCCTTCCAGAGCCTGGTGCAGGTGGGTCTGGCAGCTCCCCAGGGGCTGCTCTGCTCTCTCCTGTGTGTGCTGGGTCCCAGCCCCCCCTGACTGCATCCTTCCCCCCAGGACATGGGTGTGGGGCTGGCCGTGGTGCCGCTCATGGGCCTGCTGGAGACCATCGCCATCGCCAAGGCTTTTGGTAGGGCTGGGCTGTGCCAGGCTCCTGCCCTGCGCTCACAGCCGGGGCTCTGAGGGGGCTCGGGGTGCTGGGGAGGGGTCTCTGCAAGGGCTTGGGGTGCTGGGGAAGGTGCTGTTCCTTTTGGGGCACTGGGAGGGACTGGGCTCCAGTTCATAACATGGGCTGGCAGGAGGGGTCCTGTGGGGTGCACAGATGAAGTTTGCCCAGGAGGTGAGTGTTGTCTTGGGGTGCTCCTGTGCCCGAGGGGTGCCAGGACACGGCCCACACTGTCCCAGTCACTGCTGGTTCTGCTCCATGTACGTGGCAGGTTGTGCCTGGGGGAGCCTCAGGCCAACCCCAACATTCCTTCCAGCCTCGCAGAATGGTTACAGGATTGACCCCAACCAGGAGCTGCTGGCTCTGGGTAAGAGCTGCTTGGTCAGGAGGGCAGGGGTGGGGCTCTGGGTGTCCCACAGCCCCTGAGCTGCCTGGGATCCCCATCTAGGCAGTCCTGCCTCCACCTGAAGTTTTCCTTTCCTTACCTTGCATGCTGCCCCCACCCCAAGGCGTTCTCACAGCTCAGGGTTTCCAGAGCAGGCTGAGTCACTCCTGCACAGCTGGGTGGACACTGCCCAGTCTGGGAAGGGAGAAGGTCAGGACGGGGTCACAGACACAGCAGAGCCTCCCCAGCCCCTGTCCTTTGTCTCCTCAGGTGTTGCCAATGTCCTGGGCTCCTTCGTGTCCTCGTATCCCATCACGGGCAGCTTTGGCCGGTTGGTAGCAGGAGGGGGAGCAGGGCCCTCGTGGTGAGGGTGCTCTGCAAGATCTTCAGTGGAAGACTGTGCTGTCCCCAGTGGGTGCCTGAGCTCGTGTCTTGGTCCCCAGCAGCCCACCTTGGTGGCTGGGCTATGTGTGTGTCCCAGTGGCCACCTTCCCTTGTGTTGAGGGCCACCTCCCTTCCTGCTGTGCAGTCCTGCTGTGGGCTGGAAGCCAGGGGCTTGCTCCTGTTCCTCCCTGCTAGGGTGGGTGCTTCTCCTGGGGGGGCAGGAGCAGCCCCCAGGCCCTGCACAGTGTGAGATGTGCGGGTTTGCATTTCAGGACGGCCGTGAATGCTCAGTCAGGGGTCTGCACCCCCGCAGGAGGGCTCGTCACAGGTACAGCCCTTCCCTTCCCTTCCCTTCCCTTCCCTTCCCTTCCCT